CCCCCCCCCCCCGAAAGCTCCCAGAACATTGCTCAGAGACCATGAAAAGAGCTCTGCAGACCACAGGAAGTGGAAATAAGGGAGAACCATGCTCAGCAGCAGAATGAAGTAGAGCTCCTCAACTGGCTTGGTTATGAAAGGTCAAAGGAGCCCAGATAAGTTCATGAAGGAGACAGGATAATAGAAAAGGGAGTTCTGGCACTTCAGTCTTGATATATGATAGATGGATCTATGTTTCCAGTGAGCAAGGTTCAGTATAGAGTAGAAAGTTATTCATCCCATGCTTCTGGGCTCTTTCAGGTTGCCACATGGGGCCATGAAGGATTTTTCAGCCCTCCTGATCGCTACCGGTGTCTGGGTTTCTTGGGTTTTTGGGAGGGTTTAAACATTTTTCTCAAAAGCATTAGGCATTGGCCACAGCCAACACTGGGAATTTTGACTGGGATGTGTTGATGCTCTTGCTGGGACATAGAAAACTCAGAGGTTCCTGGTCCTGCTCTTCCACTTAGGGCCAGACTGATTGCCACATTTGGGATCAGGAAAGAATTTTACTCAACAGTCAGATTGGCATGGACTATGGGGGGTTTTGCCTTCTTCTGTAGTGGACGCATGGTCCTCTTTCTTGGATCACTTGAACATTTTACAAGATACTGATAATGCTTTCATTCCCTTGCTTCACCTGTGGCAAGTTAAAGGGTGGCTTTGATGTTTGGGGCCTTGTGCCTGGAAGTTGTATGAGAAGGCTTGCTCCTGAAGTTTTGAAGTGCAGGTTAGACAAACCCTTGTGTAGGATGATCCTGCCTTGAGGGGGGGCAGGGTTGGACTAGATGGCCTCCTGAGACCCATTCATGCCTTACTTTTCTAAGATTCTATGGGGCCCTGGTCCATAAATCTAGTGCCTAAGAATTACAATAATTCAAATAATCTATAATACTGTATGCTGGATATGCAGGTTGCCCAAAGCCCTGGATAGCATTTAAAGTTATCCTCAGGAAACCATATTTTGTGAAACTCCTACCTGCAGCTTCACTGTCCACAACAGTGGCCTAAAACCACACTCTGAAGTATGGTCTGCTCATTTGGGGTTGGTCTGAAATTTTTGTTACTAGTCAGAGGACACCTGAGGCAAGCTGAAATCTTCAGCAATTAGCAAGAGTGCTTGTTTACTCTGCTGCTTGCTGGAGTTATTGACTGCACAGTATCCATTCAATACCTACTGCAGTTGAAGTGGGTGTTTTCCAGTCCCTGCTGGGTGGGGTTTGTCCCAGTTATTTTAAGAGAACTTTGCAGTGGAACCTACCATTAATTACAGGCAGAGGACCAGACCTCTTAAAACAATAAGTTTTTCCTGTACAAAATAGAACACATAGGATAAGGATTTTTTTAATGAATACCTGACAAAGGAATAAACCTGTTGAAAGGAAGGAAGTGAGAAGCAATAGCACATGGACAAGGCAGATAAGGTCCGATTTGACTGATGTGCTGTGGCTTAGAATACACGTGCTTCTGAGCTAAAATGAGCCCCATGGCAGATGTATGCTGCAAAGTGCCTTAAGAACTATGAAAGAAAAATGCAATCAAAGTGTAAAGTACTCATTAGATTACTTCATATGAGCCTAACGTGGCAGGCCTTACACAAATGAAAATTCCCATTGCTATTGCTCATATAAGTGTGGGCCATGGGGGCATGCTCCAGTCTGCATAATAGGCTGTCACCATTGCTGTCCTGTCTCATTTATACTGAGGGTTTAAACATGGTTCCAGATGTTTTCTACACCAAAGAAATTTGAATAAATGGACCCAGAGCTAGTTCTCACTGAGTTCAGGGGAAGAGAGTGGCTGGCTATCAGATAGCCCAGGGGTGGTCAACCTGCAGTATGCACAGTGCTATAGCAATGAAGTTTGGTATCCAGGGGAAAGCCCACAGCAGCAGCTTGCCCTTGCTCTGCACACAGATCCAGGGAGAGCACACCCCCGCATGCTTGCCCAGGAGTGCACACAGTGATTGGAGCTGCCTTTACCCCATCCTGCACTCTACCAAATGAGCCACTGTGGCAGGGTACTGCGGGTGCCTGCCACTTTAAGGGACTGGAGATGGCAGCTGCTAGGTGCTTGATGAGGGCAGCCATTTTGAACCTAGGGCTGCCAATATAAACAGGGCAGTTTTGCTGCTGGAGGCCAGGCAACAACACTGTCTGGCTGCAGGTATCATCTGGCGGTAAGGGAGGAGCTGTAGGGGATGGCTAGGAGGCTCCTGGTCCTGGATATGACCTAAAACTGCACCCTGCCAGGAGTGGGTGGCCTGGTGGGGCCCTCAGTAGCGCGGGAGCCCCCAGGAAATGCCAAGCCAGTGACCAGCCTGGTGAAAGGCGGGTAGCAGTGTCCTAACCCCAGACCTCACCTTTGGGTGGGTAGAAATAACATCTGTAATAGCACCACAACCTGCTGCCCCAGGTGGGGAGTAAGAGTCCCCTGTGAGACCCTGGGTCACCAGTCATGGTGTGAGGTACCCCAGATCCCCACATCCAGGAAGGGGGACCCAGGGAGAGACTGTGGGGCTAGCAAGGCCAGAGGTGGAGTGCCCCCTTGACTGGCTCACTCTGGGGCTAGGGCTGAGAAGGTCAAAAGGGCTAGGCATCTACCGTGAGGGGTACCCAGGGTTATGGGCCTGGGACCCCACCTGGCCTTGAAGGTGAGGCCAGGGCCTGTGTATGGCCGAAGGTCCCAAGTGGGGGACCGCACCTGAGAGGGCAGCCAGCTATGAGGAACTCAGCAGCCCAGATGAAGGCAGCATTGGCCACCTGACCAGAGGGTTCAAAGAAGGGTCCTGCCAGGAACATTCTGGAGTCCAGTGTGTGGCTGGGGTGCTTGTTAACATCTGGATGCCATCTGCGAGGCTTGGGCTGTGGTGTAGGGGAGAACTGGAGCCGCAGATAGCGCACCCAGGCATTGGGGCAAGAAATGGGCAGCCTCCTGCCTTATTTAACTGCTTATTAATTTTCCAGCAAGTCGTGGTGGGTGAGGACAGGTGGGCAGTGTGCCCAGAAGCAGGTGGGAGGCCGGCGATGGCTGGCCTGAGAGAAACCCACTTTGCCACAGCTGCTCATGGCTCCAACCCACATCCTGCCCCAGCTGGGCAGTGCCTTTTGGCACCCCTTTGTTTCGGCGCCCCAGGTGGTTGCCCCACTTGCCCCCGCCCTTGCTACGGTGCTGGGTGAGTATGCCACAAGTAGAACACACAGTTTTTGTGTGTGGCATCTGGCAGGGGAGGGGGCAGGCAAGACAGTGGCTAGATATGACAGGAAGCAGAAAACAGAGCAGCAGATTAGGCAGAGGCATCATAGAGAATCATAGAACCATGGAGAAGAAGACCTGGAAGGGACCTTCAGAGTTCAATCCACTGCCTGAGGCAGGATCATCCCTATCCAAACTCTCCTATACAAATCCATAATCTAAACTCTTAATAAAACTACAATCAACCCTAACATAGCACAACACAGAACTTCCAACATCCTGCTTCTATAAAAGGTTGTTAACATGCACTTAAGAAAGCCCAGGAAGAAGGCCACACACCCCAGTCTGACCATGGGGCAAAATTCTTCCTGACCTAAAATATAGCAATCAGTCTGACCCTGAGTGTAGGGGCAAGACTCCCTAGCTAGGCACCTTGGGCTTTAAGTGCCCGCAGGAGCACTGGTACACCCCAGTCAAAATCCCCAGCCCAGCACCCAATGCCTCTGAGAGAGGCTTAAAAACACCTTGACACATGTAGCAGAAAGAGGGGGGTGGGGGCAACTAGCAAAGCCCAGAGGCTTGGGAATTACCTGTAGCAAAACACAGGCATACCTACACCTATATCATCCCTGACCAGTGGCTGTCCAACCTCTTCTTGAACATTTCCAGTAATGGAGAGTCAATGAGTCCCCTAGGCAGTCTGTTTCACTGCTGCACTGTTCTAACAGTGAAGGAAGCGGAGTGGAGTGGAACTTGGGGGGCCGGGGGGGGCGGTACAGGGCTTAATTTGTGGCATGCCTGCCAAAAAGGTTGTCCCCCACTGAGATAGCCCATTCCCTACCATCTCTGGCACCAGCATGAGGTACAGTAGTTTAGAGATTTTTAAATGTATACCCCTGGTGCAGGTGGTGTGGTCCCCTGGTACAGGACACATGCCGGGAGATGAAGAAAGCAAGTCCCATGTGCCATGGGAAAGTGGGTCAGGCTGGAGCTGATTCTCCACGACTGGGGAGTCCTTTGCTAGAGCAATTCTCTTTCCAGTGCCTGCATGGCCCCAAGAGCTCAGAGCAGAGTGAAGTATCTGGCCCTCAGTCTGTTCCACAAGAGCATGGTCAGTGTCCTGACCCAAATGATATTTCCTTTAAAAAAATTGATTGCTGTGTAGTGTTGCTGTGTGCAGTTAAACAGCTGCCAAGTCTACTTGTTTTTCCTCCACAGGCAGCTGCATTGCAGTGGAGGTTGTTGTATCACATACTAGACAATCACATTGGAGGTGAGAGGTACCATGCATCATTGCCCTCCCCGTTCACCTTTCCAAGTCACTGGGGAAAGGATGGGAGCCTGTTGCCACCACAGTACAGCAGCAGTCTGTCTTGCAGCATACATGCTGCAAATGACTTGTTTTAACAGAGGAAGGAAGACAGAGCAGATTGAAAGGATTTTAGAAACAGCTTTGCCCCTAAAAAAAAGCTATCGCGTCTCCACAAATTTTATAAAGGAGACAGGGGTGTAGGTTGTAGCCGTGTTGGTCTAAGGACATATCCAGAGAAGGTTCTTTGGGTAAACCCAATATCTTTTATTAGGCCAACTCAAATAGTTGGAAAAATTCTTCTTAGCAAGTTCTCAGGCACAAACACCCTTTGTCAGGCTGAGGAAGCATCTGCAGATGGTCTGTGCTCTTCCTGGATAGAGTGGTAAAGCAGCCAGAGGCTAGTATGTATGCAAGAAAGCCAGTCAGTTAAAATGTATAAGGAGACAAACATTTCTGTTCCTTCACCTCCTTTCTAAACCTCCTCAGGGTCATCTCTCCCTTAGTCATCCCATTTTTCAGACCTCCAAGGATCCTAGAATGCTGTAAGGACACATGTAACATACACAATCCTTGGCCAAGTCCCTCTCCCTGCACACAATTAGCTCCCAATGTCTGCCCTGCTCCAGCCCTGGTGTATGATTATAAATGGGGCCAGGACCCTTTAATGTTGCTCTTTCCCCCACCACTTTCTTTTCGTCATTGCACATGCACTGTAAAATAACAAAGCTGTGTGTGAATGATACAATTCAAATTGATCCACTCTCAGCAAGCCCCTGCATGCTTACAGGATGGATAAATGAACTTGGCATGCTAAACCATTGTGTTTTAAATATAATGGGAAGCTAAAATTAGCCAATTTGCATTTAAAAAAATAACTCTTTACTTGGACATTGATTTGAATTTCTGTCATATTCAAGGAAGGAAAATCAGTGTGTTGCCTTTGGCTTTGCTTTTTGGCTAAACCTGCAGCCCTTGCTGAGGTGAACTCTCAATATGCTGGGAAGCTTCAGGTCTTTCTTCTTTGGCTGTGACCTAACCAGTAGGGCTGTGTGAAATTTCACCGGCCTTTTTGTTCCAACACAATTTTGACCAATTTCGAGATCGAAACAGCAAAATTGGAACAAAACAAAGGCAGTGGAAATAGCCTCGAAACAAAACGAGGCTGATCGAAATGTTTTGAAAGCCCCAGCGCAAGATCCAGCAGGGGGCAGCCTCCCGCCCCGGTGTGATGTAGCTCAGGGCACCAGAAAGCAGCTCAGCTGGTTTGCCTTCCACCCTGGCATGATGTAGCACGGGGTCCCAGGAAGCATTCCAGCTGGGCTGCCTCCCATCCCCGGACCAAGATAGTGCAGGGGGATGGGGAAGCAGCCCAAGTGGGCTGCCTCCTGCCCCAGTGCGATGTAGCGCTGGGGATGGGAAGTCAGCCTAGCTGGTCTGACTCCCCATCCCCAGCGAAACTCAAAACACCATCAAAACAGCCTGTTTTGACGGAACAGATCAGCTGTTTCAACTCAGAATGAAATTCAAGATGAAACACTGTTCCCTCAAACCGTCAAAACTCAAGGTGAAATGGAACGGTGCCATTTCACACAGCCCTACTAAACAGCACCATCTTCAGGTTTTCTAGGAGCTTCATTCTGCCTTGCTCTGCACCCAGGTTCATAAGTTGCACCTGTGCAAAGTGGCTCAAAGGGCACATCTCTTCATTCTCCTTCACTGCTGCAAAGCGCACACCACCTACTTGCCTCCTTTCTCACACATCAAATACTGGAGGTGGGGCCATGGGGCTGCCTTAGTGTCTGTGCCAGCAAGCACGCCTGAGACAGAAGGCCTGATGGGGAGTGCACTCAAGGCCACCCTATGGCAGTAACACTGTCACGTTAGGTATGCACAGGGCAGAAGCAAAGCAGGTGGGCTTCCTTCCTGGCACTGCTCTTGGGCACAGCAGGGAGATGGTGTAGACAAACCCTCAGAGGCTACTGCTCTGCTTGGGTAGCCTTTTATATCCCCTTTGACAGGGTCTAAGTGCCACATCAGAGGCAAAACAATGAAGGAGCTAATTTCATGTATGGTTGAGCTGGGGAGCTGACTGAAAGGTGGACGACTTCAGTTCTGTGCTAATATGACAGACTAGCCAATTGCCCATCAAGAATGATGGGTGGGGGAGGGGTGGGCAGGGATGGAGCGCTGCCACCCACTGCCCCACATTGTTGCTGCTTGGTCTTCAGCCTTGTGCCACCCTGCCACACCTCTCCACCTCACGGTGCTGCCTCTCAGGCACGGGTGAGGTGGCAGCCACAGCCGCCACCCAGCGCTGCTGCCGCTGCACATCCAACCATGCACAATTTGCCCCGCACACACCCCGGCTACCCTCCCTCCCTCCTGAAGCCAGCACTGCACTGCCAGCACCCTGTGCTGCCCCCGCCTCCAAGGAGCGGGGCTGGGGTGAGGTGGGGCAGGGCTAGTGCCACTGGCCTCACCCCCCACTCCAGCCCCTCAGTCCCTACTGTCATGGTGGTGCTCTGCCATGTTTGTCTGTCTGTGCAGAGCACTCTGATTGGTTGTTTCAGTCAGCACTGTGACTGGCTGCCAAGACAACCAATAAGAGTGTGAATAAAGCATTACAGGCAGACAGACGAAGGCTTTTCTTATATTAGAATTATGCTGGGTGGTAGAGGAAAGCCATTTGAGAAACTGGTTATTCTGTAACCATTGTGGGCACCTGTCCTCCTCTTCCTCCCTCCCCTCATTGGTAAAGTGGTTTGCAACCTAAGAGTCTCAGCGAAGGGACTCTCAGCTGGCTAAAAGACATGACACCTTTCCTCACCCACAGGCCTCACTGTGGTTACATAACCTTTTTTTTGTCTCTTAGCAAAAAATTATCTCAGGCTTGAGCACTGGGGGTGACCAAGACAGAGTTTCTCCCATCCCTAGCTACTTGCCACCACATGACTGGGGTGAGGAACAAAAGACATGTTCCCTTCATCACCTCCCCTGGGTCTGGTCCCAAAGTGAAGCAGGTCTGTGTGGGCAGAACTTGTGAGCAGGGATCTTCCTCCATCTTTCATACATGTGTGGCTATGTTAGCACAAACCATGGTCTGGCCAATAAACCTGCTTGTAGAGTACTGTATTGTAGCGGTGAACTTCTGTCCAGGCAGAAGGACTGGGTGGCCTGTAAGAGTGACCGTTTGACCTCTTGAAGCCACATAGATTCAAACCTTGTTTATTTACAGAGTATTGGTTACAGCCTCAACCCTGAATCTTATATTGCCATTCTAAGACAAACACACATTTCTAAGTTTGCCAACCCTTAGTTTGAATGTGGAAAACTTTCACAGAGCTATAACATAGGCTATGGCCAGTTTTCTCTTACAGAAAACTTTCAGAGTTCAGACAGCTGCCAGAGGCATAACAAGCAGGGTTTGCATCCTGGGTAAAACCTGTGGACGAGTGGATGGTGAGGAGCTGCAGAGTGCTGGAGGGGTTGGGGGTCTGAGAGCGATGGAGTACATGAGCCTTACCTATGTCACAGACTTAAAAACAGTCTCCAGATGCTGCCATTGATACTGCCTCAGCTTCAGCATTGTCTACTCACCCTGCTTGTTGCTCTTATAGAAACAACGTGGTGTCTGTGCAC